TTTTGAAAACCCAGGGGACCAGGTTTTTTTTTTTTGGGGGGTTTTTTTTTTGGCCCGGGGTTTTAAATTTTTTGCCCGTTGTTCCTTTTTTTTGGGCCGTTTTGGGGGGATTTTTTTACTTTTTCCCTTTGGGATTTAGGGAAAGGTTTTGCCCCGTGGGGAAAAACCCTTTCCTTTTGGGGGGGGGGGGCCCCCAGGGGGACCCCTGTCCATTGGCCCCATTTCTTTTGGCCCGCCGGGCCCCAGTGCCCCCCCCCCCGCCGGAAAGGTTGGATTCCCCTTTTTGAAAAGCGAATTGTGGGTTTTTCCCCCCCCCCCCCCCCTGGTTCCCCCCCCCCCCCCCCCCTCCCCCTCTTCATTGCTCGTGTCTCAGGTGGCGTGCACCCAGGTCCACGCTCTGTTCCTCCGCCTACAGGGATCCGAGAACTGGAACACTCAGCGCATGGAAGAAGTGCGTGCATGCGGAGTTTTTTTTTTCATCATGTCGATGTGTGTGTGTGTGTGTTTTTTTTTGTGTGCGTGTCGTTCGTCCCATCTACTCTGGGCCCCAGTCTTTACGCCTTGCAGTATTTATGTAGCCCTTACGGTCTACGTTTAACGCACCAGCCGGGGTCAAACACCGGATGAAGTTTAACACTGGAATTTCTCTTGTTTGTGGTTTTCTTTACCATCGCCCCTGCAATGCCGGCCTTCGATTTTGAGTGCGGTGAAGGTGAGGCGCGTCGAACAAAGCGACTAACCGTTGTCCCAGTCTCGGCGGACAGTGTGGGGGTCAAATTTGGGCGCGATAGTGTGTGCCGTGGTCGTGCATGGATCGTGCATGCCGTTGTGTGTTTCTTTGGCTCCTTGGCTCCCACCCCCCCTCCACCCGTCGCTTCTATTAACTCCCGCCGTTGAGTCCGCACCCTTGATCGTGGGCTTCACACCGGGCCCCACCTGCTTTTTCCACTTTCCTTCGCACAAACATGTTCACACCGTTTGAAATTTCTGTCCTCCTCGGGCCTACGTTGTCCTACTTCAATTTTTTTTCATCTCTCATTTTTTCTCTTGGTCGTGCCTCAGATTCGAAAGCTGCTTCAGAATGGCATTTTTTCTCGAGCAGAATATCGGTCAAACACCGTATCGGAATGTTGACGAAGCATGATGCACGGGGCATGATTTGAATGCTTGCCTATGTACCGGCGTGTCGACTTCCGCCTCCTCCTGGGCTGTTTGGCCAGTCCCGTGGGTAGTCACGTCACGTCTGGTACGTTCGGCAGTCGGGGGATCAAAATGATCGCTAGCCTACGGAGATGAACGAGGGTCGCCGGAGTTTGAGAAGGACGGAGGGTCGGGTCAGTTCGGCAAGATGTTTCATTTCCTCTAGAATTTTCTCAGAAAGTTCAAGAGCGCGCGCGCTCCAGGGGGTTGGCGGTGTTTCTAGTAAGTCGAGTCACACACACTGCCGTGCTCTTGTCACTCGAACGACCCTCACCCAACAGTCGAGCGAGTGAAGGAAGTCAACCCCCCTCCCCCCCCCCCCTCCCCCGGTGTTTGCCATCGGGGTTTGGGTTTTCGTCGCTTGGCAACGACGTTGTAAAACAAGCCCCCCACTCGGTGTTTGCCATCGGGATTGGGTTTTCGTCGCTTGGCAACGACGTTGTAAAAGAAGTCAATTCACTTCGTGAACTCGGCAACCAGGTTAACGTTTTTTTTTTTTTTACCTCGTTTTTTTTTTTTGGCGGTAACCATAATGGTGGTCGAGTAGATCATGTTGTGCGGGGTCGAGAAACCTCACTCCGCGCAACGGGGGATGATCGCACCACGTTGTGTTAAAATGGTCAAGCTTCCTCGAGGCAGTTACACAGTGCTTACAATTGTCTCTGGAAGTGAAAGCACCAGAAAATAAATTAAGTCATACGTAGCTGTCATCCGTACGCAAGGAAGTAAGCACAAGATGCCGAACACCCTTAGCAGGATGCAGCTCACCCTTCATGCGACTCGCCAAATACCTCACGGCGCTTCGCGCTTTGGTGATGTGAGTGCCTGGTCCGGTGAGAACCCGGCGTGCTCCGTCCCGGCTTTGTAGGGATGCGAGGTCAATGGTCAAACGACTACGGCATGCACGACTATGAGTACCCCCCCCCCCCCCCCCGTCACGCGGGCTGGGCGTG